AATGTGACACTTGGCAGTAATTTTCATATCTTCACAAAACTCTCCCTGTTTGATCATCAAACACGTCAATTTTTTTTTTCTCCCTTCTCATTTACCCCCCACTCTTCATTTTCCACCCCTCCTTCCCAGTTCTCTTTCTCGTTCCACTTCTCTCTTTATCCTCTCCTATTCCCCTTTCCTCTACCACTCCCCCATCCCCCGGTATCCCCGTCTCTCCCCTTTCCTTTCCCACAACAAACAACTTTCAGTATGACAGACTTTTACCCTCCTTCCCTTCTTTCACTTCCTCCCCTTCTTTCCCTTCCCCTTCCCTTCCTTCCCTTCTTTCCCTTCCTTCCCACAATCAAGAGTCATCAGTAAGGATCTTACCACCAACACCTCACTGTATAGTTCGTTCATTTCTTCCCGATCTAAACAAGGTGTGTATGTGTGTGTGTGTGTGTGTGTGTGTGTGTGTGTGTGTGTGTGTGTGTGTGTGTGTGTGTGTGTGTGTGTGTGTGTGCATACTCACCTAGTTGTGGTTGCGGGGGTCGATTCACAGCTCCTGGGCCCGCCTCTTCACCTGGCCGCTACCAGGTGTGAGTGTGTGTGGTGTGTGTGTGTGTGTGTGTGTGTGTGTGTTATCATGCTGTCTTCAACAGCTGATACGATAACTCAGTGTTCGCTAATCACCAGTGTGGCTGTCGAGGACGTCTCGTTTGCCTGGCAACTCAGCAGCTGCTGCCACGACTGCATTCCAAGTTGTCGCACAGAAACGAATTTAGTGTGACAATTACACGTTCAATACATTTTTTGAATAAGTGGTTAAGACAACTCACAAGTTGGTAAATGTTGCACAAATATCTTATAAACTCACTGTTGTTTATGAAGCGTTTGGAAATGCACCATGGAAATGACGAGGCAAGTAGACCTACCCTAACCTAACCTTATCTACCCTAACCTAACCTTATCTAACCTAACCTAACCTTATCTAACCTAAGCTAACCTTATCTAACCTAAGCTAACTTGAGGTCGTCGAGAATAACGAATATTAATGTTTTTATCGAGATTTCGTGCGTACAGAAATGTACGAGAGAGGTTTCAAGAGTCCTGAAACCACTGAATGTTGTTCCTGAGGCCCCTAGTAGAGTTCAGGAGACCTCAGACCACTGAAAGTTGCTGCTGTGGTCTGTAGAACTGAGAAGGACTGCTAAGTGATCCAGCAGTCTGTTGATACACTACTGTCAGTAGTCATGCTCAGCATGACAATCAGAACGACAGTATTATCTGAGTGGCCTAATCACCTCTTTACTCCTGCCTACATAAAACATTGAGTACTACCCACACTGATCCGGCTTGTATATATTCCGAATATATCCTTCATCATATGATCCTCTAAGAGAAACAATGTATTATACACCTGGAAAAGTATATATGTATATCTCAGCATACTTAACAAATATTTACAAACATTATAAACAGCAGCATCTGTGTGGGTAAAGTACTGTGTACTCTGATGCTGAATTTGCAGGTTTGAATCCTGCTATGGAGTGAGAGATAATGTTTATATCTCGTCATGTATATAATTAGAGTTTACTTTCATCCCTGTTTTAGAGATTAAGATGTTCCCGATAGATGGTGTACAGTTTACATGTAGCATTTAATGGTACTCGTGCAGACGATAGGTTTTAAACCTAATCATTTGTGATTAGTAAGTATATTTAGGTACAGGTACGCATAAATACAGTTACACAAAGTACCATACATAGTAACAAATGTGTAAATTACCTAGGATAACCCTAAAAAAAAGTCAGACGAAGTGGCTTATTTCCACTCTAATATCTTATTATCTAAACTTTAAAAGTTAAAACAGGTAACTCAACTGAGTGAAAAATTAGTTACAATAAAAAGAGATATACTAGAAATAAGGTAAATCGAGTTATTTACGCTAACATGAAAGAGAGGATCAGCTTACAGTAATGGGTACATGAATGTTGTATCTTCAAGAATTCCCTCTTGTCCCTTTCTGATCGCTTCAAACGTCTCGCTAGGTACTTATGGTGCACAAATTCTGTGCAGGTTGTGTGTTTGCCCGAGTTGCTCCTCGTTTAAACTTTCCGCTACGTTGTTGCATTGTTGACATCTTGTTTGCAGTAGCGAGGTTCATGATCCCTGGGTTTGCTGGTTTGGCCTTCCTGGATTGATGGTCTCCTTGTTTACCATCCGTGTGATCACGGTCCCGACGTATGCATATTCCAGGACTGCCGGGTTTGATGATTCCCCAGATTTTCGTTTTAGTGGACTCCGGTTCGTGTTCTCATGTTCATTGTCCTGGGTTTATGATCCCCGAGTTTGGTGATTCCCGGTTTGGGGTTAAGTTCGTGTCTCCAGAGTAGTGGTCTCCTGGACTGTGGTCCCCAAGCCGTGGTCCTTGAGCCGAGGACTCTCCTGTCAGCGGGAGTGTGGACCCCGACAGTAGTCGTAGCTGGAGCCATGACCCTAATTCTTCCTCTAATAAATCTTCCTCTTAAGTCTGCTCCCTTGTAGGGGGGCTGCCTTGACTATGGTGAAGGGCTCTTGATCAAAGGAATTTATACTACCCTTCCCATTTCTCGGATGCAGTCTGACTGCCGAGGAAAGGGATACTTGTGTATATTTCAAGATACTTGTGTGCACTTCAGAACGCTTGTGTGCACTTCAGAGCACTTGTGTGTACTTTAGAACACTTGTGTATACTAACTTCAGGACATGTATGTGCACTCCAGAGCACTTGTGTGCACTTTAGAACACTTGTGTATACTTCAGGACACTTGTGCACACTTTAGCACACTTGTGTACATTTCAGGACACTTATGTGACCAGCACACTCGTTGTTCACACATTGCCTCCTGCATGCTAATTCATGTTCACTGACGTGCTGTTCTATGCTTTTCGTCACATCAGATAACCTACGTACACCATATACACAATAACGTAGCCAACGCAGGGTGCAACGTGGATCCTGCACTGAAATCTGTGGGTATGGTAGTAACCTTCTTCTTAACCAGGTATATGATGGTAGTCGAAGAACTGCTGGATGCACACACCTTGCAACGGGAGAGTGTGCTGCACACCTTAGTGTTTACGTTTCCAGGTGGATCCACAACCTTACAACGGGCGAGTGTGCTGGACACCTTAGTGTTTACGTTTCCAGGTGGATCCACAACCTTACAACGGGCGAGTGTGCTGGACACCTTAGTGTTTACGTTTCCAGGTGGATCCACAACCTTGCAACGGGCGAGTGTGCTGGACACCTTAGTGTTTACGTTTCCAGGTGGATCCACAACCTTACAACGGGCGAGTGTGCTGGACACCTTAGTGTTTACGTTTCCAGGTGGATCCACAACCTTGCAACGGGCGAGTGTGCTGGACACCTTAGTGTTTACGTTTCCAGGTGGATCCACAACCTTGCAACGGGCGAGTGTGCTGGACACCTTAGTGTTTACGTTTCCAGGTGGATCCACAACCTTGCAACGGGCGAGTGTGCTGGACACCTTAGTGTTTACGTTTCCAGGTGGATCCACACCCTTACAACGGGCGAGTGTGCTGGACACCTTAGTGTTTACGTTTCCAGGTGGATCCACAACCTTGCAACGGGCGAGTGTGCTGGACACCTTAGTGTTTACGATTCCAGGTGGGAGAACAGTGTAACTCTTGATGGTGTAATCTTCGGTTGCCGTGCTCCTGATGCACTGTGCTCTCCCGCGATCAGTTATACAGTGTGAAGGGAATTTGATTACAATGATTCGTGTTAAGTGGCAAAATCATGTGGGTCATTCAGCGCAAGACGTGGTGGAGGCTCGATCCTCCGTCTTCTGAGCACACGAGCGGCTCATATATATCAGTGTACCTCGTAGAAACAAGCGTAGGTATCTAACTGGGAGTAATAGTATAGGAGATAATCTTTATTAGTGTCGTCGACTTCACACAACAAAATGTCCAGGAAAGGGAGTTACACATTTTATTTTTGCTTTTTCTAAAGTGATCTTTGTGGACAGTCATATGTCATTGTTTTCGGTAAGCAGATTCTTGATGACAAGTATATTATCCACGTTGTTACGTTACTGGGGATGATGGATGAAAAGCACTCAGCTTCTAAGTGTTGGGTTGCTAATATGGGACTGATGGGTGATCCCAGGGCCATCCCTAAACACTGACAACAGCTGTCATTACCGACCTTTAAAACAGAAGAAATTAACACACGGCTCTACGAAGTCCATGAGACCGTCATAGGGAATAAGCGGATTCATGATTTCGAAGATTTTCCGACGCAGCAGAGATTGTATTTTGGATACGTTGGTAAACAGACAGGTAACGTCGAAATTGTCCAGGATCTTTAAGCCGATGGCGCATATACGTGAGATGAGATCCCCAGAGTGTTGAAGGTGAGGTTGAATCATAGTATCGATTTATTTAGACAAGTGATTGGCGAACAAGACCTCGAGTCAGTTTGGAACTCTGCCATTGCTTTAGGTGACGAAGTTTTAGCAGGATTATGAAAGCACAAATTGAGGATTACCGGGAAGCTTGTATACCAGTTTCTAATAAATTAGACATATGTGTAGCACTTGGGTAGAGAGATACCCAAGTGCTGTACATATGTCTAATTTATCAACTTGTCGGTTCTCTGAACCATTTATCTACATACCAGTTTCTTTCCCTGATCTTTCTGGCAGATGCATCGAGCTGGTTGAAGGAGATCGTAGACTGCCTCTTGCAACTGTAGTTCTTGCGGGGTGACGCAAATATGGCGGTATCCCAGTAGGTCGTAAATTTTGGAGGTGGAGTTGGTACTGGTGAGTATTAGCACTCAAGCTAGATTAATCCAAAATAAACTACTGCAAGATAGACTAAGGCAAGATAAACTGCTACAAGATAAACTATTGCAAGATTGTTGAAGGTTTGACGAAAAATAAATAGCGTTTATTTGTTGCCTCTGTAAATACAATACTTAATACAAACCCAGCATATAGTTTAATTTAACCACTCTGTTACTGAATGGTCAGGTTCAACGAGGTAACTCATTGAATTTCTTCGTTATTATACGCACAGTGAAGCGTTAATTTTTTGGGAGTCAGAGAGCTGTTAAAAACACACATGAACAAACACTTGGTCTTATTCATTACAAAACGTTTCGCTCCTGGATCCCTGATCACTTCTAACATGTTACAAGTGATCAAGGTTCCAGGAGCGAAACGTTTACTAATAAATATGCCCTAGTGTTTACTCACATGTCTTTTTTCCAACCACTTATTCGGTATCAGTTACCAAGGTTGGTACCAGGGGTCGAGCAGTGCTTGGGGAATGGGAAATAATCAGGCTTGATCTGAGCAAAGGGCAACGACATTCACTGAGTCAAGAGCCCTTCATCAAGGCACTTCCCCCAGTCCCATGCCTTCCCCTTGGAGGCTAATGTTTACACTTGTTTGTGACACGAAGGAACCAGTAAAATAATGGACTTGTGCCTGTTACTTCTGTATTTTCATCACATGTAACTAACACCGAATGGACTCTCAACTTTCCACCATATAAATGACTGCCGATAAATACTATAATAAATAAGGTTCTTTACGTGTATTATAGAGTAAGAGCTTATAAATGTATTAAATAATAAGATATTTTACATATATGGTAAGATCTTAATAAACCATTCGCTGGAGTATTCTACATGTATTATGCAGTAAGTCCTCTTATTGCGAACAGTGGAGACAATAGCTGGCCAATGTCATCATGGATCAGGTCTTGTGGGGTGTTTATTCCACTGAAGTTATACCTTCACGGGCCTGGCGTTCCCTCTCGGCCTCGGCGAAGGCGATCTGGTCGAGGACGAACTGAGGGATGGGGTGAGGGAACTCAGGAGCCACGGGCAGCATGTCAGACTCAGGCTGGTAGCCGTTCTCGTCAGCCACAAACTTCAGGTACGCAGTTCGTCCGTCCTCCAAGGGGTAACTGTGGCACAGAGATTATGAAAAACTCATTATTATATTCATGGAGCTAAACGAGTCTTCCAAGGAGTAACTGTGGCATAGTTAAATCCGTACGGAGCATACGACACATGAGGAATGGGAGGTAATCAGGTTAGAGCTAACGAAGGGGACTGAACCTTCAATTTATTCTTCCTCACTGACGTCGAACGCTCTTGAAGGGCAATAGATTCAAAGACTTTAAGGAAAATGTGCTGAAATGTACGTTAATATCTAAGATAAATACAATTACTGACCTCCAGTGGCCGATGCTGTTTTCTCCTCCGTTCTCGCCTAAAGAGCCAGAGACGTGCATTTTAATGCCGTTCTCGGCCTCGAAGTCGAAACTGTGAGCGCCGGTCTCGTCTGGGTAATGTTGCTCACTGTGAATTATGGCCACGGGAGGCTTATCCAAAGGCATCTTGTCGGCCATGATCCCAGCCACCAGCATAGCAACCAACACTGACTGTAACACAACAGCAACCAGTAAGACAGTACCACTTAGACACTGACTGAAACACAATAAAACACCATCAGTAAAACACCAGTAAAACACCACCACTGAAATACTGACTGAAACACAGCAGCAACCAGCAAAACACCACCACTGAAACACTGAGTGAAACAAAAGAGAAACTAGTGAAGCACCACTACTGAAACACTAAAGCAATCATTGAAACACCAGCACTGCAACACGGCAGCAGCCAATGAAACTACCGGTATTTGAAAGACACACACACACACACAAATACACAGCCACACTATAGGTCTGAAGTCGCCATAATCATTGAAACACAACAATGATTAGCAGTGAGTGAACTTTGTGTTGATGTTACACTACTAACTACACAATATTGCGTTAAAGTATGCAGAAAACTAATGAAAAAACAGAAGCAGATGACCATCAAGCAGAAATCGGACTGATTGTCCATACAGTACCTCTTTGCGATATTTTAAATCATTATTACTGTGTGATTACCTACTATCAGGTAAGGACCAGGGATGCTCTCGTGATGCCATCTTCATTATTGGAACAATAATGTGTGGTATATGTACAAATTTCATGTAAATTGTAATTTACTAATTACTCTGACTAACGTCAAAGTTTATTATTAGTTAAATAAAGATAACAAACATGTTAAGCAACTAACTTAAATTTGTTTGTAGCAGATAAGAGAATTGTTGCTAAAAATTCCGTTGTACTCCTGATAACCCACTTGGAGCCCTAGTTCCTAGGCCTTTTGTGTATCCATATGCTCTTGGGCTACCCTCTACAGAATGTATATGGTGGTGCACAATAAACTAGCCACTTCGGCGACAAAATTTAAAAAATATTATGGAGCAATGAAAAGTGTTGTGAAGAGGCTTGTTGCTGCTAGAGTTAGAAACTCACCTTGATCATGTTTAGTGTGTGATGGTTATTGTAGTCTGAGATCCTGGCTGAGACGCCTGCTTCTTATAGCTTCAGCCCTATGACCTTGAGGGAGGGGAGCCAAGATGAAGGGTAGAGTGAGAATGG